GCAGGTCACTGCACGCTGTCTGGGAGCTGGGGCAGCTCCATGTTGCAGCTGGAGCCCGGCAGCGCTCAGCTCCAGCTCCCAGGCAGTGTGAAGCGCCTGGCCAAGTCACACTGCACCTGTACCATGGGACAGCTGCCATGCAGGTGCCAAGCAGGGGTGGGGATCCCTGCTGCCTCCCACTGCTCCGCGCTGCACAGGGGGGTCTGCCATTAGTGCTCAGAGGCCCCAGTAGCCGCTCCTGCAGCCGGTGAATGCAGGGCTTTTTTTTTTTTTTTTAAAGTCCCGGGGCTAGGCTGGGGCCAGGCGGGGGATGGGGATGGGCAGGGCAGCCATGGGGGTTTCTCCCGTGGCTCCCCAGACCCAAGGGAGAGGCAGGCACATTCGGAGGAGCCACAGGAGAACCTGCATCTGCCCAGCTGCACCTGCCTCTCCCCGGCTGATCCGAAACACCCAATCTCTCCAAATCAGCGCCGAATCTTCCAAAGTTGATTCAGCTGAATCGATTCAGGACAGTGATCTGAATCTCCAAATCACTGTCCTCTGAATCGGCTGAATTCCAATCCAAATTGAATACTTCCCTATTAGCACAGGCCTAACAGAGATATTTCAACAGTTAAAGATGAGCTTAATATTGCTAAAAAGTGCAAGAGCAACTTTGCAGATATAGTTTTACAGAACTTTCAATCAAGTCTGAATCAAACCTACAGTTTTAACTATATAAAAGTTAAAAAAACAGTTCTTGCCATCATATATGCTAATGGAAAAAATTATCTCTTGCTTCAAATTACATTCCACACTTGTCATTCAAAAATCCCATCAACCCCACTCACCCTCCAAAACAATGTTCTTTTAAGACCCTGAAAGTGTCCAAAACCAGAACAGTAATTTCTGTGTGTAGGTGGCAAGAAATTAAAAACAGTATATTTGGTGTTTGAAAAGAAGTCAGTATAAACTCAAACCTTTACAGGTTTACAATGGAAGATCAAGAAATGTAATACAATTGTACTCAAGCTACTAAGAAGCTACAGTGTCAGATAATAATTAAAATTAGCCTCTTAGATATGGTTTCCTGTAATGGAACATCACAAGATTTAGGGAGTTTCTTTAAACTTTGAAATGTCATTCGAAATGCAAGTATCCCACATTATTTTAGTAACAGTAACAAGCTAATGACTATATAAATTGTTTTATTAGTAGGTCATGTTCTCAGTTTAAGCATGAGGGAACCTCTTAAATGTACCTCACAGTTCTTAAGCTTACACAAACATTTTGATACTACCCATAACACATTTGCCTGTTTGTTAAATTCAGCATAACCTACTAATAGCCAACATTGAGAAATGAACATAGCTTTGTTGGGATCCAGTGACTGATAACTCATTTTACTGCTGGACCCTACACCCAGATATGCTTGAACTACTCTTCCAGCTTATGTAGGATAGATTCAACACAACTAGAATGGCAGCACAGACCTCTGACTAGATAATCATGCTTTTACTAGTGGCTGTTTAATACAGGGGAAGTTAGAGTAGAAATTTTGAAGAAAGAGACTTTGCTGGTTTTTGAAGAAAGAGACTTTGCTGGTTATTGACTTGACAAAAGTAACATTCAGTCTAATATTAATAGAACTAATATTTAAGATTACTGTATTTTTTGTAAGTTAACTATTGTCTATTTTAAAAATTAGAATTTGGAAGCAGTGCAAAGATACTGGAATGTTTCCTGTGATAGAAGTCAAGTTAACAACTTTCAACAGATTGCATAATTATGTTGTAACATAGCATAATTATGTCTTACTGGTTTAAATAAACTTGATAAGTATCTTGCACTTTTACTACCGTCTGCTGTCTGAGTTATGAAAAAAAATTGCACTTCTATTCCCTGTAACAATTGTGTTCTTTACCCCTTGGCAAAGTTTAGTTTTAACTCTACGTTAATTATGAAAAATAGCTCTAGTTGACTTCGCTAATACTATTTCAAAACAATGGGACCACCACTGGGAACATGCGCTGGTAGGCATCATCTGCTCTGCCTGCTGGCAGCACAGAAAAACCAGGTTCTGGGTAAAGAAGGCCTTCACAATCCCACAGAGTTGTGAATTATAAATATACAGATATTTAGAATCCAGAGTCCAGCCTCTTCTACATAATTTAAAAAATGTACAGTATATTTGTGGCCAAAATAACTGTCCATTAATAGCCATATGTCCATAGTAACGGACAGTGACACGACAGATATATTTCCATAAGGAAGTAATACAGAACAAAAGAGAGGGCTAAAAATAAAGATAAACTGTGAGATTAACATCAAATTTATTTAAACAAGAATGGTTACAATTAAATACATTCATATAATAAATTTATTGATCAACGAAAAACAGTATTTTTGACAAAATCCTGAAGACTGCAATCTGCAAGGAGCCCTGAAAATCTCCTCAGGACCTCCCATTTTTGCAAACTTCTCATTGCCAACGGCAAATTACACGGCTTTCAGTCCTTTTGGATGGATGGCACTGCAAGACCCCCTCCCTTGAGAATCTGAAAATGCTTTTTTTTATTAATTGAATAGGACACTCAAATAACACACTTCTAAAGATCGGAACATAATGCCTTCCCAGTACTCCAAGCTTCTTCAAGACCAGCAAGTGGGAAGCTAAAACTTGCATAATGGACATTTTCAGTACCTGGTTACACTGTCCCTTCATACAGACAAATTCAATTCTTTTTTGTTGCCAGGATTGTACCCATGTCAGCTACATATCAAATTTAGAATTATTTCAGTTTCCAAACAGTTGTATGCACACTAAAAAAAACAAATGATGAACACTGTAATTAGAATTAAAAATCTGGAGATGAGCTAATAGAATTTCTCCTACCTGCTCTTTAGCTCTCTGTAGGGCAGCTTCTAATTTTTCAACTCTTAACTGAAAAGGGTGACTTTCTTCATCAGTCACCTATATACAACAACAAACAAGAGGTGACTTTAGGGTAATAAAACTCCTAGCTGTTGGAAATATAATGGTAGTTGAAGCAGTATCTAACATTATCCAATCCAAGTGGAAGGCAACTTTGGAGGAAGACTAGATCTGATACGCATTTACAGAAATATTTTGAAGAAAGCAGTACACAGCTTTAGTTCCTGCAGTCTGCCTTACTTTACCTTGCTGTCAGAGGTAATAAGCTATGTTAGTTTGAAGTCAGGCAGAAGGCAGAGAAGGGCAGGGCAGCACCTTAGATACTGATTCAGAGAAACATGAGCATTTAGATGCTATGAATGGATTTGTAGAAAGAAGGGGCTTCAATAGGAGATGGAAGAGAGTTCACTGTTGAGACAGTTGGTAGATTAGATCAAATTGGTAGATTGAATCACAAGGAGTAAATAAGTCAGAGAACATCGTAAGAGACTAGTAAACTGTTTACTACAAAGTCTGGAAAGGAGTTAATATCATTCCTAACTGCTCATTAGCTCTCTGTGGAGTATCTTAATTTTTTAACTCTTACCCAAAGAGTAACTGTAGTAAACAGTTTACTCCGATGCACTCTTAAGCTGTTAAAATGTCTTGTTTACCCCTTTTGATCTCATCTGTTCATTTTTTCCCCTTTCAATAGTGCCCCCTCCCCTGTCCCTTTCTTTTAAACTCCTTGCTGTAAGTTCATCGATAACATTTGACAAACTGGTGGCTCTCTAAACCAGTTACTCTCTAAGGTGCCTCCCTGCCCTGCCTTAACTTGTTCTAAGTGCACTGAGGCAGAACATGTTTTCAACAATGCCACAAGTAAGGAAAATAGCAAGATGACAGCAACAAAGCCATGGTTATCTCAGAAGTCAAAACCAAGAACACTACTTTGAAAACAAAGTTATTGACTTGTAAAGAAACATATCTTCTTTGCAACTTCTTCAGGCAGAAGGCAGGGTAGGGAAGTACCTTGGAGACTAACTGGCTCAGAGGCATAAGCTTTTGTATCCTACAGTGTCAGATGCTATATAAGTACCTGCAGAAACCAGAGGCTAGTTCTAAATAGAATGGAATTTAAATATAAAGGTTTAGTCCCTAAGATGCTACCCTTTGCTTGCTTTTTACCTGACTTGAGACTAACATGGCTAACTGCCTCTTTCCAAATCGTTGTCACTTTCTGAGACTGAACCACTATTTTACAGCCTGAGAGATCCAGGGCTAGGGTAAGAACTTTTACAACATGAACATAATGCTTGTGAATGCGATGGATTGCTAACTCTGCAAAACAGTTCTGTACATCATAGCCTGCCATAGCACAAAGTTGATAACATGATCTGATCAACATGCTGCAGGCTGGATAAGAAGCTACTTGCTTTGGAAGAGAAGACGTCTCTACATCTGTTTTCATCTATGATCTCTTTGCTGAGTTTGCTTTGTCATTTGAATGCTTTAATGAACATGTGCGCGCATGCATTTAATACAGTTTTTAACAAACAGAAGTTTTTACCTCACTAAACAGGGGGACGTGAACAGGTTGTATTTCACCATACAGTTGAGTTTTGGAATTTATACCGCCATAGTATGGAGTAGGAATAAGGTAGCCATCTAAATAAGCAAACAAAAAACCAAATCACACACAACCACAGATAATATTAGGCATTCTCATTATACATGAATAAACTGAACCTGAAGAAATCTGTACAATATACTGAATCCTTCTCTGATGTTTTTTCTTTACATTTTCAGTGCAGCAACTGTTCTGACAACTATTTATGCACATTGAAGAGGAGCTGATCTACTTTTTTTTTATTTTTTATTATAGTGCCCTACTGTGACTTACCTACAGATAGTTGGTGTGAACCTTAGCTACTTTTTTGTAGCTGACAGGGTGCTCTCTTGGAGGCCTATAAGGAGGACTCTGAAACTCCACCCTGGACTTTGTCCTAAATAGCCCCAATTGGTGATCTTCCAGATATCAAATGTAATTTTGCCAGAAACAGAATGAGTGTTTCCTATACAAAAATTACAAGGTATAAAGAATCCACATCAGATTGGTGTTGGAATTCTAGTTGCTGTGTGCTTTTCCCAGGCTCCATGGACCATTCTCCATCTTCCCCATGGCAGGGGATGTTATCCCACCATTTTTAATTAGCAAGATATACTCATTCTTAATAGACTGTGCCCCATTCCTTTCTTCCCCTCCTTCCTCTACTCTCCTCCAATGCTAGGGTCTCCTTGATTCCCATTTTCCCTTCCTAGGTGATCTACTCTATTCCTCATCTGTAGGGACATATTAAGAACAATTCATGTCATTGTGCTATAGGTGATGGACTGTTTGATTATATTCTTAGGTGCACGGACTAAATTTGCAGGAATCCAGGTTTCAAACAAAGAGAAGGACAGATAGACAAAGCTAATTAAGATGCTAACCCTGTCATGGTAGAGATTGTTAAGAATTAAACAAAGGAAGGGAATGACTATGGATATGTTAACATAGGAGAATACAAAAGTAGACAATAACATGTAAACCACTTGCCTCCACCAAGAATACACTAAAAGTAAACCAGGATTGTAGAAATAGGGAAAAACAACGTAAGTATGAACAGAAGTTTAGGCGTTAGATTGAATTAGTTTCTGGAAAGGAAACATCTAAGAATATGGATAATATAATTTTTTAAAAAAAATCAAGGAGAGTAAGACAGGTTACAAACAAACATCATATTTGTCCCAAGACAAATTGCAATTATTCAGACATCCATGTCTGTTGTCTTTGGGTAAATCTGAAAAACATTCACAGGATAAATACTTAACAGTTTATCTTCAGATATTGCAAAGTGCATCTAAATGGTTATCCTGAGATTGCATTACTGAATCAATGTCCAAAAAGCAACAGTGCATTCAGCCACTCTGTAAACCCTGATTAGAAGGGTGATGCATGTATATGCCAATTCTGTCCTATTTCTGTTCCAGGACAAACACAGGCACAACTTGTCCAGGTCAAATGGGCAAATGGCACAACTTGTCCAGGCAATCTGTTTCTAGCCACAGAGCAAGAGAGAGTTATTTGCTAGTATGAGCTGGATCTGATGAAGCCAAACAATGTGACAGCTAGAATTTTGCCCTTGCTAAACCAGTTGTAAGTATTCTGATCAAATGCTTATTATTTTAACTGTTGTGCAGGTGCAATCTTTAACACTGTAGCATTGCCATCCAGTATATATTTAATAACTATTACAGTAGCTTGGAGCTTTTGTTTAAAATAACTATATGATTGCTATTGATGTTTTGGATTTAATAAAGGAATTTGATACCTCTTATCCCTCTCTGGAGCCTTTCCTCCCCCCTAACCACATAGGCTCCTACTTCTATCCAGGTCCCTACCTTCGCTAGTCCCCACCCACTCTCCCTCACCTCCGCAATCTGCTTTCTCCACTTGCAGATCATAGATCTCTATTCTCCTTTCACCACAAACTCTTTCTGTAGGACTCTGAGAGAGACAGTCTTCTCAAGAAACAAGTTTAGCTGCTGTCTCCAATATGTACAAGCAGCAGCAGGGGGCAGCAAAGAAACAATACTACACAGCTGATGGCCTCAATTTTCTATTAATCTAGTCTGAACCAAGATGGGTACACATATATTAGATCACAATAATATTAGAAGTCACTGCTATGAATAATGCTTTGTGATTAAGAAAGCATTACTTACCTCCAGGATCACATAATACAGTTGAAAGGGTAGCAAAGATGGCACAACAGCCACTCATAACAATTATCTGAAACAAGCAGTCATGAGGGTCATCAACAGAACTGCCACACTTTTATAATACTGTTTGAACAATATTAAAAAAATTAAAGAACAAGCATGATTGCAACAACAGGTTTTAGTAGGACTTTGCTAAAAAGAAACCATTATAGCTGAAATTCAGAATATTGCAAAAAATTGTGCACAATATCCAAAATAGTTAAGCTATTACAGAATTAAGACCTTTTTATACAGCTGATTGTAAATTCCAGTTTCATGGTCTGAAACATTTTGCAAATAAATCAAGAAAAGAATCTCTCTCTATTAGCTGAGAAATTTAGAGTTTTGTAAGGCCTTGCACTGGGAAAGAGAGGGGGTAGCACTGAGCATTTGAAAGACTCCTAACTACTATCCATTTGGAATGATTGTTTGAAAAGGCAAAGAATGCCGATGCAGCTGTCTCCCTTCCCCAACAGTCTGAGGAATGGGAGGCAGATGTGGATGAAGAAAAAGAGCTCTTTCTACCTTCCAGAACCTAGAGAGGCAAGGCAGAGGAGACTTCAAATATGCTACACATCCATTACACAGAACCAGAGACAAGCCTTAACTATGGTTCTCCACAAGGTCAAGTACTTCATTCACTTCCAGGCTCTAATCAGCAATATCTTGTTATTCTCTTAGCTGTAGTCAATGAGATGTTTACCAAAAAAACAATGGCAGAATGTTAGTACTCACTGTGTTATACATCAAACATCTTAACTACAATTCCACATTTAGAAACAAGGTAATGGACTTGAGGCTGAAATAACAGCTATTGCCCTTCTGCTTTCATAGTTTCTGCACAGTTTTTCATAGCAGTGCAGGAGGTAAGAACAGATGCCTCCAAGGCCCTAACCTTTAAAAACCTCTGCATAGAGTTTTCCTCATGGATTTGGAACATCTGGAATTACTGTAAAGGGCCAAAGAACCACAGCTGACTCCTACCATAGTAAGAACGAGAGAGAGAGAGAGAGAGAGAGAGAGAGAGAGAGAGAAAAAACAGTTTAAAGTACTGATAGCTTTTTCAAAACATTTTAAATGTGGCAAGACTTCTAAGCAGTGTTCCCTCTTTTTTAATATCCTGTAGTAAAGATATATATGTCTGTGCAGATTTGCTTGTTTTTAACAAACAGAACAGCAAAATGCACATATGAAGCACTCGTCTTACATGCTCTGGATTCAATGCTTCTGAAGCTCTGGCATATTCAGTGAGAAATTTGGCGATTTCTTCTCTGAAGCTGAAATGGAGAATAAAGACACTTCACATCACAATTCTTATGAAAAGGTCAAAATACACATACATGTAAGATATTAAGAACCAGAAAAATGTACAGTACACTTACTCATAAAAAGATTCAATTTTTTGTTCGACTCCTGATTAAAGATTCTGCAGATGTCTTGTTATGCTACATGTTTTGAGAAAGGGGAAAATTTAACCTTTTTCTGAAGGGGGTTGGCAAAATGGACAGCCAGAAGTTGTAGCTTTCACCACTCAGATAGCTTTGGACAGCCTATCTTGCTGAAACCTTTCCTCCTAGCATTCAAATCACTGTGGATCAACTGATCTCTGCATAAAAAAGTTAAAACAAAGTTCAAATATATGTACATGCCTAATCTACTGCTAGGGCCTGATTTGGGAAGACACTCAAAAAATGTACACACCAAAAATAGTGGAAACTGAGTAAATAACAGAGATGTGGGGAGGAAAAATTTCCAGTGCTTTATTTTTCTGTGGGAAATTTTTCATTTCTAAAAATTCATTTTTATTAAATTCATTAGCAACAATGAATGGATGCCAATACAATATTAGGCAAGCTTGGCAGTTTCAAAGTTGTAATTAATATTTTTCAGGTGATTATCCCTAGAAAGTGTATGAGAGAGTACATATATGTTTTATTGATTTGTAAACAGGGCAGTAAATACACTCGCATAATAATCCAAATAAAAAATCAAGTTCTGAATTCACCTCATTGGCTGTGCAGGTCAAATCAAAACCAAAGCACGGCATATCATGCACAGTTCTTTGGGTGTGCTAAAATTAGTGTGTCAACAGTTTTCAGTGCCTTCGTTTTTTTTCTTAAATTTACACAAACCATGTAAGGGAAGTACATACTATTGTGTATTGTCTTTACATTTTTACAAGTATTCCAATAAAAATCATTTCTTTCCACATAAAGCTTTTAATTTGTTTGAAAATAACATTTAAACCACATTAAGTGTGCTGTATTTAATTTTTTCCCTAATCAAATATTTCAGTTCAAATACTTGTGGCTATTGGGACATAAAATTAACATGGGGGGTACTTTTTTAGTTTTGTTTACTAAATATAAGTTAAATAAACATGCTAAATCAGATCACACTCTATTTAGGGCATTGGAATATTTTCTGGAAAATTTTCCAATTCAAAATTTTCCGGAAAACTCACATCTCTGGTAAATAGAGAAGGCTAAAGACAGATCCATCCTTTGTTTATAATAAAATCGATGACAGAAGTCCCACTGATTTCTAAGAGGTCAATATTTGTCTTCAGTCTCTGGAACATAGCTCTGCCTTCACTGTTCACAAAAGCCAAGAGTTAGCCACTCTGATAATTAGCATATCTTCTCACATACAACACACACATTTCCCCAAAAGGTGCTGAAATCATGGTGCATGTACTAAGTCAGAGATATGGTAAGAATGTTCTAGGCCAGTTATGGCCAGAATGAAGGTAAAATTTACAGTGGACTTAAAGGGAACAGAACAATGAACATGCTGTGCTCCCTACCTGCTGCTGCTCAGTTATTTACTGCAAGGAGAGCATGTCTACATGTGCAATTAACGTGCCTGAATTTTCTGCACAGAAAATGCAGGCTCATTAAAGCACTCCCCAGCGCATGTCTATGTTTGCATCCCCGTCAGGAGCAAACTGAGTCCAAGAGGAGAAGCCCAGTCCAGGGCTGCTCTTCCCTGCTCTGCCCCCCTTGCAGCAGCCAGGAGGAACTCCAGGCAACCCCAGGTGCCAACCCCAGGCTGGCAGGGAGCACAGGGGCTTAGCCCCAAGCTCCAGGGGAGAGCTGGCCCAGCTCAGTCGGCAGCTCTGTCAGGAGATCAGGCTGTCCCCCATGTCAGGGGAGGGAGCGGGGTGGGAAAGAGAAGGGGAAGCTGTCCCAGCTGTTTGGGCAGTTGCCTGCCAGCCATGTGGAGATCAGGATGGGTCTATGCCCAGCCAGGATAGCTCTCTCCACCCCCCATGCCAATTTGATCCTGGTCAGAATCTATACATATGGTACAGTCCACTAATTAATGCACTGTTTTGGGATGGGTCTATGACGAGTCAGGATAGCTCTCCTCACTCCCTGTGGCAATTCGATCCCGGTCAGCATCTACTCGTGGTATCATGCATTAATTAATGTGCCATTTTCTAGTACCTCTATCTACAGATAGAAAACAGCATATGAGACTAATATACTGTAGTGTGCAGTAATTGCTGTGCACATGTAGATGGCATTAGTCTAATGGGCAGTAGTGTCTCATGTAGACGCACCTGGAAAGATCTTTTATTCTTTGTTCTGCCTTTCAAAAACAAAATGAATATTATATTCTGGGGCACGTAATGTGCAAGAAAATGTGGTACTACTACTAACTATAGGGGGATTTACACAATATATTCTCCTGCCTACATCCAAATGGCAATGGACAGAAAATAAAACAAATAAAAAAAGAAAGGAAAAAGTAATTCTTACAGCCAACAGGAAGCAAAAAGCTAGGGAGCAAGAAACTAGAATTAAAACTATTTATTTCTGGGTTTACAAAAAAAATTAAGCCAAACCAGCTGCCATGTACTACAATGTGAAAAGTGGACACTTATTCACTTCGTACCTTTTAATGCCTTGCGTATCAGAATACTGCAACAAGTCAGGTTCTACATAGTTCATGTCAGGTCTTGTAAGCTGTTGACAGAAGAGAGCCATAATTAAGCAGTGTGCTTTTGCCTGTAAGCTTCTGGTTTGCTGGACCACATAATCTATGTAGTTAAATAACATGTGTTTACTAATAGCAGGGAGATGGAAAATCTTGAGATCCAGAAGCCACATCTGTCTTTCTACCCAAGGTTAAGATGCTAGTGATCAAAAACAAAAGAGAAAACGGTCTTTTCGACTGAACTGTCATAGTTGTGTAGATCATCAAAATAAATCCTGAAACAATTTTATTTTTTTCTCAAAATTTCTAAAATTATTCAGACATACAAAATTTCCCCAGTGTTTTTTATATTATTTAGCTGAAGATGCAGCATTTTTTCTAATTGTGTCAGCTTTGTTTAACCTGTGTTCTCAGCTGGCAAGGAGCCAGTAATTCCACCCACTACACAGGGAAAAACACTGAAGCAACACAGGTGATTTATTCATCTTAAAAGATGCATCTAGTCTGAGAAGTGATAGACAACACACACTTTTTTAATTACAAAAAGTATTTTTCAAAATTGTTAGCATGGGCAATTCATTTGTAACTCATGCTCCTTTTGGTTCATGCAATAAGATTCTGCAGAATAAACTGGATGCGCAGATACACCAGCCAGCACAACTCCACCGATTTTCATGTGGATGGACAGAGCCAAGTGCAAAGTTGGCATAATAACCGGAGTTTATTTTAGATGGTGTGCAAATTAAAGTATAATTAAGTTCACTCTCCACTCCAATAAGCATGTTGGCTAGCAATGTTACTAGGGGTTTAGAAAAAAACTAAAAACTTAACTCTCTCACTAAGCAAGGTGCCTTAAAAAAAAGTCCCTGTCCCAGTCATATTTACTTAACGCAGCAGCCTGATGTCCGGACCATTCTATATGAGGTTACACAAACATTTTTAGTTTTGCTTAAAATTAATACCTAAACTTCAACATAAAGAATGCTTTCTATTCTAGCAAAGAGTTTTAGCGCTACCCACAAAGAGCATCAAACCATTTGATGAAGCAATCAATAATTTCCAAAAAAATCCAAACTAAATTGTTGCATGCAACAAGTATAAATAACTTCTATCTAAATATTTTAAGTTGAATGCATTTTTCTAATGTGAATGAAGCTTAGGGAAAAAAATATTTTTTTCTGTGTAATGTTACTTTGCTAATAGCACTTCACTAAATATATCTGAACATAACATCTAGCTACGATGTACAACATGCGGTTGTTTCTGCAAGGTTGTCATATAGAAATCTAATAAATAAACAGCACTCCCAATGCACAGAAATAGTTAAATGAACATTATTTACTCTGTACTAAATTATTTATTTGTAAAACAAACATTGCACTGTTATAATCTAACTATGTCTGCACCACTATCTGAGGTATCAAAAATCCCATGATCCAAAAGTCTTCATACCCACAGAAACACTTACTCTCTCCTGTATCAAATCAAAGCACAGTTTGTTCTCACTTGTTCCCAAATTCAAAATGCCCTGGAATAAAATTGCAATGATTAAATAGGATCACATTTAGGAAAAAAAAAAAACCAACCCAGAAAACACACTGTGTCTTGATCTCATCCTGACAAGAAAGGACATGCACTTTTCCTTACAAGGGATCCTGGTTTTCTTTACTTTAAAAAAAAAAAAAAATCATATTTTCTGAAAAGGGGGGGGAATGGCAAATTCTGATTAAAACCCCTCAAATCCACGTTTTTCTGTGATTAAAATGAAATGCCACCCCACACACACACACACACACACACGCACGCATCACTTGAGCACATTTTATTGACATATTGACAATTTTAAAGCAATTTAGAAGCCTGCTAGTGCCTCAATCACTATAATAAAATAAATTCTAAATACCAATAAATATTAGCACTTAATTTTTGGTTTTTTATCATGGAAAATCAGAGCTCCCCCTGCCCCCTTTACTCATCAGGATCCTTGTTATTACACTAGGGCCCCTGCTATACATTATACCTGTAACATGTGACATATTATGCAGCTGACTGGTGGACAATGCAATAAATATACACCCACCACACGTGCAAAATAAGACTGGCCACATATGCAAAGTAATTACCACACTATAGCCCTATAAAAAGCACTATAAAAAGGGCTGTCCAGCTAAAAAAAAAAAAAAAAAGAGAGCCAATCACAGATTTTCTCTGTTAAAGGAGAAAAATAGAGAGCGCTGGCAGGTTTCCCCATGCAGGCTGGCAGAGATCCAGCCTGCAAGGAGCTACTTGGGGCTAGGGGAATGGGAGGAGGGCACTGCACATGGTAGCCAGGCAGCGTGGAGAACAGCTCCTGCAGCTCCCTTCAGGTAAGTCAATGGGGGCGCAGACTGATGCCTCCATGAAACAGGGAGGCAGGAAAGGAGGGAGTGGGGCAGGGCTGTGTGTACTACACAGCTGGATTGGTACATGGGGCCTGGGGCCAGAATGTGGGACCCAGCTGAGGGGGAGCAGGATGAAGCCATAGGCAGCTTGTTTGCAGGGGTGGGTGGGGGCTGGCTCCCTGCTGCTGTGTGCACTCCTGGGGAGGGAGGCATGGGGGGCACATGCCCCTAGATTTGTACGTGGGGTAGAGGCAGATGTGGGCTCCCTGCCTCCATGCCGGCTGCACCACCACAGCGAGGCGCTCCCTTCCCACCTGGAAGCAGTGGGGGGCACAGCTCTATGCCGCTGCTGCCACCGAGTGGGCAGGGGGTGCCTCGTCATGGTGGTGCAGCTGGCGTGGGGCTCCCAGTGGGTCTCCTCACCCATGGGTGACTGGTGCCTCCTGAGACTGGGGGGGTGGGGGGCCATGTCCCCTGTGCCCCCCCTACCAGTCGCCTATGTCCTCACCCTCTTTCGCTGGGTGCTAGCTGTGGAGACTCCTGTGGGGACTCCTGCGGGGAGGGCAGCAAGTCCCAAATCTGCAGCGGGCAGCCCACCTCTGCTCTGCTCCGGCCCTGTGGTCCATGGGGGGAGTGAGTGAGGGTGGGAGGGAGCTTGCTCTGTTCTGGCCACAGCAACCACCACCTCCAGCTGGTGACAGCTGGGACTAGGGCACTGCAGGGGGCAGGGGGCTGCAGGCCCTGGCCCCAGTCCCGCAGCCTTGGCAGCTTGAGGCTCCCTCTGGCAGGGCTGGGGGTGGGGGCAGGGACTGCGGGTCACAAGAAAGGGTGGGGGTGCGGGTGTGGGGAGGGTGGTCAATTCTGTTTGAATCTGTTCCAGGAGGCTTTGTCACGATGTAATGTCCTTAATTACTTTAGGTCTGTAAGACAAATGCAGGCTACTATTGCATTTAAAACCCCCTGGACTACCCAATAAATCAGATTCAATATTTCATATTGAGTTTAACGAATACCCTATCATTTCTCTCCCCGGTGACTCCCAGCAGGCTCTGGAGATGCAGCGCTCATTCCTGGAGCCCCCGAGCAATCCTGGGGGGAGGCAGCGCTCGCCGCGGGCGGGGCGGGGCGGGGC